ATGCATTTCTAATTGTTTGTCTGGCCAACAATGGCCTCATATTTTAGTTATAGGGATTCTCTAGTTAGGTATGTTATCATACAATACCTACTCACAGAGAATACGTTTTAAGAACAAGTCTTTTTGTATTCCCCCCACAAGAATGTTGGAAACTGGACTTTTTTAGGGGACTTATTATGCAAAATTCACATTTTGCACATTTTTGTACTTCCATTTTGGATTCTGCAGTAAGTTAACGCCACAAATCAGCAGGTACTGCCTGTTACCTAGCAACCCAAGCTGAGCCCCAGCACGTTTGGTCAGCTGGTTTTAGTCCCGTATAAATGGCTGCTGGAACAGACGAGTGTTTTGTTGTTGACTTACCGTCCAGAAAAAACTTCCTGCATTCTTGTTGGTTGTGCAGGAGGCTCTACTTCTGCTTTTCAAAGATGTATGATTGTTTGATTACACATCTGTTTGCAGCCATTTTCACATGTTAGTGTAAACATTGAGTTGGGGGGTGTGGCCAGCAGCAGCTTATTCAGATTTAAAGTGACATGACGCCCTAAAACAGCTAATTTTGAAAGATTAAAATCTCAAGATCTGAGGATGATTTTGTGCAAAAAAAACAAACTGTAACATGTAGAAAGGTTGATCAACGCCAATCACCTTTTAAGCACATTTAGGCATTAATGAGCATCTTTCCAGAGATGCTTCAATCACAATTTCAAGTTGCTTGGAATGCAAAAACATCTCTCCTGTTGTTGTTTGGGAACTTCTGTTTTGTTTAGCCTTAGCCTCTTCCAGGGAAGAAGTAGGTGAAGGTTTCCATTACCAAACTGTTCTGGTCTTTATTTTGTTGGTGAATCTCTCAAAGGGATCGTAGAAATCTGCCCAGGAACACAAAGGGTCATCCAGGCATTTTCAGACTTGCCTCAAAGTGTTTCAAGCTGCATTTTTTCTTCTCATTGAGCAAAAAAGGCAAACATAAACTGACCTCACCTTGGGGTTTCCTTGAAATATTAAAAGGTTGTGAACTGCAATGATTTTAAGTGGGATTGCAAGAGAGAGAAAAAAATCTGAGAAGTCTGATTAATGTTGTTTTTCTCGAGCCCTCCGACTGTGGGCATTCTGAGATAAAAACCCCAGCAGTGCTCATGTGTGAGTAATAATCAGTGTTCAGACAGTGTGCAGTTTGAGTCTCAGAGGAGCCGCCTCACCTTTTATCTCACATGGAACGCCATACCGAGCTCACCGCTTTGTCTTTTTCTCACGGCAAAACAGTTGTGTCCTCGATATGAAATGGTATCATCAGGTAACCGCATCTTTCCTACTTCCATTTTCGCCGGCCGTTTCAGATAGCATGCGTACACCACAGGGAAAGTTCAAATCGTTTGCTTTACCCGATGAGAGCCTGCACGAACTGTGAGCTTTTACCTCTGTAGGGGGGTTTTTCTACCACACAGAGGAAGAAATGAAGAAAAAACCCGACAGACGAACAGAGACAAATCTATATAAATAATTGCTAAGTGGAGTGGAGAGGAGTTGCCCATCATTCAGACAAGAAGAGTGTGCAATATCTCCGGGAGATTGAGAGTCATCCATCACTGCAAGACTTTAATTTGAGATGTTTAGGACTGTTGCTGATGATTGTCTGGAGAGGCAGGGAGCGTCTGGTCTTTGGGGGTCTGCAGGGGTCTTCGCCTGAGTGTGGCTCACAGTGGGGGAAAAATTGCTGCCTGACACGAAGCCTGTTTACACAGGCACAATGCAATAGTTTCACCCGAGATTGGCTGTGAGCACACAGACAGAAGAAGCAAATCACTGTCTGATTAGCATTCAGATGCTTGAAAGTGTGGAAGCAAGTTTCTGACAGCTTATTACATCTTTTGGCGCTACAGTAATGCACGCCGACAGATGCGCTTTGGTGCACGCACACACACTCGGACACACCTCATTTAGAGCGGAATGATGTCAAAATGAGTCCATTGAGTGGGGGGCGGAGATTGCAGAGCCCAAGGTAAAGAGAGTCTGGAGACTCCAAATAATCTCGAGTATTGATTCCATTTGAGCCCCGAGGCTCCTGATGGACACGCACTTAGAAACGCAGCAATAGGTGGCACATCCATATGACTGATCACTGTGGCTCTGCTTTATGGTAAGGCCTGCAGACTATCTATAAATAACAGCTCTCTCTAATCAAACGGAGCAGCAGATCCGAAGATGTGATGACAGCTTGGTAGACGTATGCTGTAATTTACCACAGAGCACTTAGTCTAGCCATTAAATTTACATGGACACAGTGCAGAGTTGACTTTTCCTTTGCCTAGGCATGCCGCAGCTGATGTATAACACCCAACCCAGGATGGCATTGGCTGACATATTTCACTTTGGAGGTGTGCAGTGGTTTTATACCCTAAAACAAACCAGAATTATAATTAAATGTCAGTTAACTCAACAAGTCAAAACAATCTGGATTTGATTAAATCTGTGCAGTGTGCAGTGGCCGCCTGTAATCTGATGTAAAGCTGTTGGGTTTTTAACATTGTGATGGGATGCTGCATCCTGTCCTGTTAGCTGGACTGGCATCTGTCCAGCACAGACAAGACGAGGGCACGAATACAGAATGCCATTATTCATGCAAGGAAAAAGAGGTTATCTCAGGAGAATATCATGTTCCAATCATCGAGTTGGTGAAATTAATGCCTTCATATGCACCTGAGTCGGTTAGTGGCGTCGGCGTTTCATAATAACTCCAAGTATATTGCATGTGTCTTGACTTATCCCCTCTCTAATGCAGTTATAATACCTGAGTGGTCGGTGGCTGCATGCCTTGAATGCTCATTTTCTGCACAGTAGCCTCTGTGTACTCAAAGTGTCCGGCTTCTCCTTTTCCCGAGACGCAGACTCCTTGGAGTATAATTTGATTATTCCAAAGCAGGTGTTTTCAGCTGAATGTTGATAAGAGAACTGAGCGCCTCAAACACTTAAGTAAGGGTGCATTAGATCTGCCTGAAGCAGTGGAGGGTAAAGGCTTATTTTTCATCTAATCTGGGATTCGCTGAAAAGCCGCATATGGTACCTCTGTAGACTAGAAAAACATTGCAAATACTGAGAAAATGAGGGGACTGATCTTCATTATCCCTGAAGCAAAATCAGCCATGCATATGGCATGAAAAGTCCCAAAAAGTGGATTAAGTTCAAGTCAGTCCATGTTGCTGCTACTTGTTTGCAGGAAGAGATGCATATCTAATGTAATCACAACTTACAGCAGGTTTGCACAATCAATAGGTCTCTTCAGATTTGTGTCAATGTATTTCCAATGTCGCTCTTCTGAACTGACAGCTATGTAGCGGATAAAGTTACATCTATAAGCCAATTTTTTGTTTTTTTTTACAAGCTTAACTCACACCATAACGTTAGTATTTTTCAGTATTAACCTAACATATTGGGTCTAAACAAAAAGAAACTCCTCAAGCAAAGTCAGCCATGCTTCCTAAAATGTCCCAAAAACTGGAGTAAGTTCAAACCAATCCATGTTGATGATGCTTGTTTGAAATATATGCACGTCTAATGTCATTGTACTTTGAATGGGTTTGCAGAATCAGATCTTTATTTTGTGTCAATCTCTTTCCAATATCGGTTTCTGAATCAACGGCTGCACAACGGAGAAAGGTTTCATCTGTGAGCCTTTCGTTTCCGAGCAAAACCCAAACCTGCGTTCCCATTACAAATGTGTGTAAAACTTTGTGAACATCTAATGTCTAAAAAAAAGAAGAAACGCAATTACAATCACACGTGAATAAGTTTTAAGCAACAAGTCTCTAAAAACATGAAGCACCATCGTCCTCCAAATTCCTGTCATCTTCTTAGTCATTTACTAACATCCTGTTATGGATCACGATTTGTCTGATGCAAACTAATTTCGATGCAGCTGAAAACCCACCTCACCTTGGTTTTTATCAGAAGACGTTTTTTTTTTAATTGCTGTGTTTCTAATACTCAAATTTATTGTCATAATTCCAAGTTGTGCAGTTTTACAGTCAATAGAAATGCAGCAACTCTTCTGTTTTCCCACATAAAAACAATTATTCTTTTGCAGTACTGGCCAATGATATGCATGTCTGTTGGAGTTACTGTAAGTTCCAATGGGTTTGCAGAATCAACAAATCTATTTAGTTTAGTAGAATAAACACTTGTTGTTGCATCAGTGGAGAGTAATGCATGAAGACTGAAAGCAAACAGGGAACCTTCTCAAGCCAAACCAACTCTTTATTTGTCTCTTGATGTCTTTGCAACCTGTTTATTTAAATCAACAGCTGTTAGTATATGATGGATTATAGGCGACATCTGTCATCCTGTTGTTTCTACCCCTAACCACAGCCAGATTCCTTCAGATTCCCACCTTCCAAAACATGAAGAAGACTCCACAGACAAAAGGAATCCTCTCAGGCTTGTAGATCATGTACGTCTTTCAACTCGACACTTGACTGCGTTACCAGAAAAGACGAGTCTGATGCATTAAGGTCATATCTTCCACTTGGAGGGGAGTATTAATTCCAACATTTCAACAGATCATTTCAGCGCTGATTGGACGAGATGGGACTTCTTTTTGTGCTGCTCCACGTCATAAGCACAGCTCTGAACAACTTGCCAAAACCTTTTGACACAGCGTGGTGAGATAATCACAGCTGAGCGCAGAGTTAAAAAGCTGCGCAGCCCTTTTCATATGCAGATGAACCCAAAAAAAGAAACTCAGACCTACAACTTGATGTCAACGCATTCTCCGGATCCCGACACGTGTCTAATTGATGCTTTTCTCCCACCTCATTTCGCTCTATGAGCCCCAGCAGAGAAAAAAGTGGCGGCAATGCTCGAAGTTAAACCGCATTACAACACTATGAAGGGCACACGCTTCATCCGCTTCAATAACTTCAGCAAACAGAACATCTAGACTGTGGAGTTGTTGAATACTAAATAAATGTCAGTGTAATACAAACAGAATATAAAAACACACTTACCTGTGATGGTAACTAGGAAGCAGAGGAGCAGCCAGTTTAATCCAAATTCTCACTGAATCAAACTGTCCTTCCACCTTTTACGCAAACGCGGTCTCCCTCTTTCTCCTTTCACTCCTCTTTTTTAATTCCTTTTCTCACCCTGCTTTCCTCTTTGGTGCCTTTCAGTCATCGTCCCGCTCCGTCTGTGTTCACTTTGAGCGCGAGCTGGAGCATCACAGGACCGCACGCGCCGCGCCGCACCGCAAGAGACGAGGGCAGAGCTGGAGAATGCACGGGAGCTGTACCTAAAGAGAAGCGCGTCCGAGCGGATGCAGAACGACGACCGAATGGGGGGAGAGAGAGAGAGCGACTGAGTGAGCAGGGCAGTGTGTGTGTGTGTGCGCCAGGAGGAGGGAGGAGGTGTGTGTTTGAAGCAGAGAGAACATGTGAGGAGGGTCTGGGAGTACTGCCGGCTCGGTGGTGAGCGACGGTCGTGATTGCACTGGCGTAAGGCAGGAGAGCAACACCCCCCACCCTTCCCCAACTCCTTCATCAGATCCCCCTGAGCACCGAGGATCTTCATCATCAAGCAGATTAGAGCCAACTAACACCCCACCCCCTTCACCCCTGAAGACACACACAGGCACACACACAGAGCCGGGGCTGTGCTCTGTGGTCACAGGGGACATCCTAATTGGAGAGACTGTTGGAGACGCTTCTTTTGTCTCAAGCGCATGCGGTGGCCAGGCCTTGAAGACGAACTTGGGGTTTCTTTAATCAGTTTTTCTCTGAATTTTCCTTGAAATCCTTGGCAGCACACACATCCAAACAGAACTGAGTGTGTAAGAAATTATAGATTTGGTTCAAGTGGATGGGTCACCTAAAATCGAACTCCAGTCCTCCAGGGTCACTCACCTCCATTTTTTAGATGTCCTTCCTGGTCCTACACTGCAAAAAAAAATAAAAAAATCTTACAAAGCATTTTAGTTTAAATTATTTAGAAAATATCTTAGTAACCTTAAAATAAGACAAAACTAACTTACTCTCTTCAGCAAGCTTGTTTTACGTAAATATTGTCTTAATACTAATTAAAAAGTATTTGTTCCATGTAAGACTTGAAACAATCTGCCAGTTCAACTGAAAAGTTACTTTTAAGTTAGTTTTGCCTCATTTGCACTAAATCTACTAAAAGTACTTGATAAGATTTTGTGTTTTTGTAGTGAACAAACCGGATTAAAATGGCTGAATTATCTCCTCAGTATAGAAAAGTTCTCCAGAGTCCTAATAAAATGTATATATTTGATTTATGTTGCAGCAGATGCACATCTAAAAATTGCAGGACACTCGCTGCATCTTGCAACTAGATTGGAATTATAAAAATACATTTGTGTAAAAAAAAGGTTTTCCACAAAAAGTTATTTCTCTGGGATGAGGGAGGGGAGGGGGTTTGATTGTATCAGTTAGTGTTTTTTAACAAAACGGAAACATTTTTACACATCACATCAGATATGTTATCAACAACCGGATGTTTCTACTGGCAGAAAGACGAAGAAGAAGATGATGCCATAGGACCTCCAGTAGCAGTCAATCTTGCAGTAAATCTGAAGACGCCTCTGACTGAAGCATGACATGCTGATGCCTCAGCAGGCAGCAGAGATGGTATTTGAATATTAAGCCTTTTTTCAACTTCTGTGGGATTTGGGGTCGTAGTTCAGATACTTTTTGCGCTTTAGGTGCATATTAGTGAAGTCATTAATGTTGATTTAAAGAAAGGAAAAAATACTAGTCCCACTGGCAGATTTTTTTCATTTATTACATGAGAAAATATTTTGTTATAAGTGAATTAATCTGCCAGTGGAACAGTTTCATCAATATTAAGGAATTATTGTCTTAAAACAAGCTCCTACTTTCCTGAAAAGTCACTTCTAAGTTAGTTTTGTCTTCAACTGTACCAATAAATTTGCGCTATAAACTAAACCAAAAATATTAGGTAAGATTTTGTTTTTGCATCCATGCTATTGGAAAGCAACCAATACAGGAAAGCTAATCATTTTCCTTGGTGCTGATTGGCTGAACCCTCAAAAGTGGATATAAAGCAAATGTTCAGTTCTGTGGTAGCTAATTAATGCATATTAAAGTATATTTGGTGTTTGAAGTGTTTAAAATGGGCGACTATAAACGGTTTTAGACGTTATTTCAAGTAACAACATAATAGCTCCCATTAAAACAATGTATATAATTATTTTTACAACAAAAACTCATTAATAATCTCTTTCACATGTAACAGTTAAAGTTCATATCGGCAATTATAATGAAAATTTATGTTTAAAACTTTTTTAAAAGGGTGAAAACCCCCTAAAATCTGAGTTGTCAGTCTCTTCATATGAGGATATTTTCAAAGTCATTTTCAAACAGCATTTCTGCCTGAAATGGCCATCTCCACTTCATTCTGTGTTTCCCTTTTCCATTTGATGCATCTCCTCCACGGTGCAGTCCAGACTGAAAGCATATGGCTGGCCATCAAACTGAAATAGCCCTCATTATATTGCTCCGCAGGGTCATCTTCTATGAATATGCCCATAAAACGTCAGCCTCAGCCTGTAAACAAACAAGTGTGCACCAATGATGAATATATTGGTGATTGGTCAGGAAAGCAGGAAAACTGAGAACAGAGCGGCGCTGCTCTTCAGCGGCATAACAAGACCGTTCTGATTGCAGGAAATGGCATGTGGGAGAAAGCGTGTTAGGGCCGCTGCAGGTGGAAAAATGTACTTCATTTTTGGCAAAATTTTGAGATTAATCTGACATTTTCACAAAAAAAAAGTAAACTTTGGGATTAATCTCAAACATTGTGATGTTTTTTTTTTTTTTATTGCAAATTTTCCACTTCTGGAGTTCAGAAATTTCTGAGATTAATCCAAAAAATCTGAAATTTACTGCTCTTTTCTATCTACAGTAGCCAGAATACGCTGCTGCAGAAAACTGATGGCAGATTAAAAGTCCATTTAGTTTCTTTTTCCACATAGAAGGTACTCTGATCATTTTAGAGGCTCAAGTAATTCATCTATTCTTTGTTTGGGCTTCTTTATTGCTCTCCTAAGTGTCGCTGCTGTTTGAATCATGGTTTATTGTGTTTGTTGGGATGTTTCATTATTCCTGACAGACTGAAAGCTGAGTAAACACAATGAACCAGGTGGAAGGTCAGGGTCTAAGATTCAGGTTTGGCATCTGAAGGGAATTTTTTCACTGATTTCCTCCACATAAATCTTCATGTTGCTTTGAAATTGAGAGATTTATTCATTAACACAATTGTCTGCTTCTCCTTTTTTCCTGGGCTGTTAATTGGTGTATCCTCCACAGGAAACATTTTTATTTAATGGGTTTTTTTTGTTCTATTTCTTCATCTTTGTTAAATAATCTATGAGTATCTTTCTATCTTTAAGAAATTCCAAACTATAATTATCAACCTGATTTTAAAACCTCAGTATATTCATTTTCCAACAAATTGACATTGTAGTAGTGCTTTATAATCCCTTGAAAATAAACACTGTAATTTAAAAAGTACTTTTTGTGTTTACTTATTTTGTCTCTGAATAATATTTAAATTGGTTTTTATGTTCTGAAACATTTATTTGTGCCAGAAGTACAAAAAACAGTAAAGTAGGAAGGGGACAAACTTTCTTACACCACTATAAGGTGTCCTGACATTGTTGGGATCCTCTTACATAGTAAACAGTTTGGGATAAACTCAAAGTCTCGCTGAGGATAAACAAGCACATCCTTACATTGAGCATAAATTCAGCCTCGCTGGTTGCAAAAAGCTGCAGTTTTTTTCTTCAGGCTTCAGTCTGAACACGGCGTGTGGCTGCCAGCCAACATTCGCTAGTTAAGTGAGCAGTAACACCTTGGCTGAACTGCGAGAACTTTGGCTCGTTCAGCTGCTGAGCAAAAACAACAACCACTTCATGTTTACTTGATACTTGCTGGAGAACGGCAGCAGCCTGGCGGGAAACTCTCAAATGAGTCCGTATTATCAGATCATAAACACAGACATGAGTTTTGAATGAATGACAACCTTAGGCTGGATACAGATTGATGCCACAGACCAGACATGTCTCCATACCAAACTGTGATAGTGCAGAGTCCGTTAAAATGAGGCGTTTTTCATTTTTAGATTTCCTACATCAAGACAACATTAGTTTGGCTGCTAACTTGTATGTCTGTATAGATTTCAGAATGTTGTGCATCCCTTCAAACAATCAGAATGAGTGTAAATGTAACTGTTTGGAAAATATAGTATTTCCAAAAAAACATACCTCAACAATTTCTGATCATTTTAATTGGTAAAATATTACCCGATTTCAAAACTTTATCACTGCGGAGAAAAAGTTAAATGTATTCAGCTTGCTGAATATTAATTCAACAAAATGAAATTCAATTAAATATTAAATATAGTGATTATCATTTTAAAAACTGACGAGTAAAAGTAGATGACAGGGTTTTAATTTACCCCGTTAGTCAAAATGGCAGACAAGAAAAAGTCTGATTGCTTTGACAGAGTACTGCTGTCACACTACGAAAAAATTAAATAAAAAGATTAAACTCGTACAAGAATCAAGTCATATTATGAAAATAAAGTCACACGACAAAATCAAAATGGATTAGTCTTAACATTAGAAAAAAGTAATAATATAAGAATAAAGTCGTACAAGAATAAACAAGGTATCGCAAGGATAAAGTTAAAATGATACAAAACGAAGTCATACCAGAATAAAATACTGGAATAAAGTTTATTACAAGAATAGTAGGATAAACTCGTACAAGAATAATCAAAATGATGAGAATAAAGTCAGAATATTATGAAATTAAAGTTAAAATAATCAAATTTTATTTGTATAGCACATTTCAGCAGCAAGGCAATTAAAGGTGCTTTACATAATTAAAGAAGAAATAAAAACAGTATGTGGCATTAATAAATAGATGAAAAGTAAAGATAAAAACATAAAAAAAATTAAAAAAAATATAATAATGCTGGAATAAAGTCGTAATGTGACTTTCGAAATACTGTGACTTTATTGTAATTGTAATTGTTTTTAATTTGGCGTGTCCCTAATATTCTGACATAGATTACAACCCAATACATGTGACACGTTTGAGGTTTATTATTAAAAATCCTGAAAAATATTACTACAATGTGTTGGAATATTGCATGAAATCCAATAAAATAATATTGAATTTATTTAATTTTACATAACAAAATCTGAAAAAGTACAAAGTGCAGCTCTAGAAAAAGTCAGAGCCCACTGCATTGAACCTGGTTGTTCCACCAAATATTGATTTCTGAGCTCTTCCTGAGTTAAAACATTAAGATTGTTGTTTTAAATGAACATGAACTTGTTTTCTTTGCATTATTTGAGTTCTGAAAGCACTGCATCTTTTTCTTTATTTTGACCATTTCTCATTTCCTGCAAATAAATA